AGTGAGTGAGTGAGTGAGTGAGTGAGTGCGTGAGTGTCTTTCTGTTCAGGGACTTCTGTTCTATTTATATAGGTGAGCAGTGGCTTGTGCTTACGTACTCACATGTTAAATTCCACGCTTGATCTCGAGCAAACCATTTCCTTCTACCACAACTCTTGATTTTCAGTCTGAACTGTTTCACACATCACAGCATCTGATCTATTTGCCGCAATCTCGCTGTTCGATGTTCTGGACTAGAATGAAGAAGTACCCCACTCTGTTCATGTTCAGTCAGGAGTTCAAGAAAGACTTTAGGGCAGAATCCATCTCACTCGGGTACTTGATAGAACATGTCGGCAAAATGAAAATCGGGAAGGTTTCGTATTCCAACAGGTGTCCACATTTCACATCACTTGACGGTCTATTTGGGACCCCTGATTGGCTCGAGCATCTCTGGCATGGCACAGCAAACAGCAAGTCCATCGAGAGGTGCCAGTAGCTACTTGTCGCACAGTTGGTGGCAGCTGAACTGTAGCTGAATTGGTTTGGCTGGATCTTGAAGCCCAGCATTTCATCCTCGGTGAAAGTAAATTCCGCCAAAAACGAATTTTCAATTGAAGACCCCTTGCTCCTAGTAGCGATGCCAGGAGCCCCTAGTAGCTTCTTGTTCCTAGTAGTAAGGCCAGGAGCCCCTAGTAGCGTTGTGTCTGTTTGGCTTCAAACATCCAACTGACGTAAAGCCTGAAACCTACCGAGAGGTGCAAAGCCAACAGATTTGTCTTCAACTGGGCCTACGTTTCATATCTTTTCAGTCTGAAAAACGACTAAGGTGAGCACAAGGAGATCCAAGGAGAAGTGCCAATCGTCCGAGGCTGCCATGACTGTAGTGTAGTGAAAAACATTCACTTCCAACGTCTCCTGATTCGAAAAACAATGTCAGGCACTGGTCTATGCAGGCCAAACTCAATATTGCACTCAAAATGCCCCACACAAGCACAAAGGCTGTCTCCAGAGTTGGCTCCTTCAGCATCACTTGCAACACTTGACGTGCCAAAGAAGCCCAGCCCCTCTTGGCCACGGCGCTTAAGACCACTGTGGCAGGCTTCGGCGTCACCCGCCAAGTGTCCTCAGAAGCTTTAGGAACCGGCCCACGGCTGTTGGTCACCCCAATCCCTGTAGCTCAACGTCAAGACATGGAACAAATCAGAAGCTGCAAGGCCAACAATATAACTCTTATTTCCCTACCGAACCCTAACAAATGGTAGCAAAAGTATTGTCAATCTGCTCCATATCATGGCTCACACCCTCCGAACCAAAATGCCGCTCACTCTCTCTCTCTCTCTCTCTCTCTATCTATCTATCTATCTATCTCTCTATCTCTCTATCTCTATCTCTCTATCTCTATCTCTAACTCTAACTCTATCTCTATCTCTCTCTCTCTCTCTCTCCCTCTCTCTCTCTCTCTGTGAAAGTTGTCAATCTCCTGTGGCTTTAAGCCTCACCCAACTGCTTCTTGCAGAGTGTCCATCTCCAGCGCCAGGGCTTCTTGTACCTCACCAAATGTGTCCCTCCTCTGGTGACCTGGTTGGACCATCTTTGACAAATGGCCAGCATCACTTAGCTATGGCAATCACCCCCCAATTGCCAACTGGAAGCTCCCAAGCTCCGCAAGATCTTAACATGATGTTGCATGATTGTGTTGACCCACCCATGTACCAGGACTGTGGCAAAATAACCTCTGCCTGCATCAGACTTGGAGTGACTTGTGAAAGAGCAGCACGTGCTTGAGGGAAAGGGGACCAACCCTGCCTCTGCATTGCTTGGAAAAGGCCCCAATCGCAGTACTCGCAGCACATGTTCACGTTGACACATCCTGCAATGACTTGGCAAAGGCACAAATGACCAAAGGCAGAAGCGCTCTTCTCTCACTGGGGGCGGGTTTTAGTCCCATCCAGCCTCCTGAGACCGCCATGGCCACAGGTCTGCCGCCAGCATGCGGCTCTACATGGGGACGTATTCCCAGAGAACTTGGCATGCTCTGAAAGCCTTTTAGATCCCAGAACATCCATGTGAAGTTTGATGGTCTTGGTGAAACCTTCGACTTGGTGAGCTTTGAAGGCCTTTTTGGGGCAACGGGCTCAAAGAATTCGAGTGTTGCTGGCCCACAAAGGTGCTGATGTTGCAAGGATATCGGAGAATCCACATACAGCCCTCAAGATCAGATCTGTGAGTCTGAGTGTGAACAATAGACGTCCTTTCTTACGGACTTTAAAACCATAAGCCTTGCGGCCTTGCCTAGATTTGCAAGCAAATTCCCTCACGGTGCTGAGCTTCGTCTGCGGCCATAAATGCAGAAAGGATCTCTAACGGCCCTAAACGTGAATGGCAGGGCGGTAAGCAGCCCTGAACGGCGCACGCCGCCGCCGCTGCAGGATGGCCTTTGCCCGCCTCGGTCGAGTCACGGCTAAAAAAAAGAAAACGAGACCAAATAGCTACTAGTAGCGTCCGTGCTCCTAGTAGTCATGGCCTCCAACCTAATTAATAGCGATGGCCTCCAACCTAATTTGTAGTTTCTTGCTACTAGCAGCGTCCTTGGAGCGTCTCAAGCAACAAGGGCGCCACGGGTGATTCCAGGCCGGCATTGGTGAAGACACCCTGAGAAGCTTGCAGAAGGACCAGCTTTTGAAATCTACGAAATGGCAGCTTGCTTCGTGTTGGACGTGCTCATGTGTTCAGATTCAGGTTTTGCAACTGGTTTACGTGCCATGCTGCTGACAACCCAAACAAAAGTAGGGGTGTCCCTCTGTTGTTGCTGGAAATACCTGTCCAGCCTTTCCATGAAACCACACAAATCTTGCAGGTTCCTGCTGCTAGCATCGGGTTTGGTCCTCGATTACCACCTTGCTCTGAATGTCATGTCTATGTCAAAGAAGACTCTTGATTATCCAAAAGGCATCACACCTGGAGCTAGTTGCAATTGCAAGGACTCTGATAATTCTATAGAGAGGGGCATGCTCCAACTCGCTCAAATGCCTAAAGCTAGTACAACAACCAAACAAAGATCACAAAACAGACTGGAGACTCTTGACGAGGCCACGGCCAGGCCAGGACCCCGCTGGGAGGCATCCGCAACGGCCGCTGGCACGTTCCGCGGCTCGGGGAAGTCCGCCAAGACTGCCGAGGGAAGCGAGGACACCGCACTCACCAAACCGATTCGGACTCGGGAGCACCTGGTACAAATAGATTGGCCTCGAACAATAGCCTCCTATCTCTGGCAACACCTTGTATGGTTGAAGGCAGGTCAAAACCGGATGAACTTCCGTAAAGTTGCTCCAAACCAGTCGCTGCCAGCTCAGTGGTTAGAAGCTGCATCCGAGTGAAACCCTGATGCCGCAATCTGAGGGACAGCGAAGACTCATCTGCGTTCCACGAGCAACAAGCTCTCCAATTTTTTCTGCACGCTTTCATGCATCAGAAGCTTCCTTGAAAGCTGCTAAGTCTTACTCCACCTTCCGTGAAATCTACTGGAGCCCTCTTCCAAGGCTAACAGTCTTGGCCAAACGCCAACATCAACTCGAAGGCTATTTGGAGCAGACTTTTCCATCGACCAAATCAGCCATGAGCCGGATTAAATTCTGACCCACGGCAAGCCCACGAGCATCCACAAGTCCACATGTCTGTCGTCTTGCCCCATGACCTACTCTCATACCCCAGATCTTCATACAACTGCTGTAGAGTGACATACTTTCTCTTGGCGACGTATTGACTTCTTGGATGACAACTCGTTATCGGAATCGATGCTGTCCTCGCTCCACATTAATGTGCAGCAGTCAACTTGCATTCTCAGCGGATCTTTCGTCCTGCATCTGAACACGTTGATCATCCACTGGCGCCACACATCCTTGTAGGGCAGTAGCATCTTGAACTTGCTGCTAAAACCAACACCTATACTATGTATGGGCCCCATGGCTTGGTATTTCTTCGATCCAATGTGAAAAGCTTTGTTTGTGACCATGGATTGCTCAAAAAGTTGCCACTCTCCTGTTGTCTTCATGTACAACGTCCTTTCAGAACCCTCTCAAACTAAGAGCCCCACGGTCAAGCACCAGAATACAGATGCACGAGACCACGGTCAAACCTAGCAGAATAGCTCCTGCATGGCCAAGAAATTCTGTACAAGAAGAGAGCTTGGGCCGTACATGGTCTGTTCTATTTGTTCCTGCTACCAGATTCCAGTGTACATGAACGCCCAAGGCTTTGCTTCCCTCCTCGGAGGACTGGGAAGTCCTTCAAAGGTATCGCGATGAAGAACTGGATAGCGAAGCCCAAGCTCTGCCAAAGCTTGTAATTGGCCATGGCTGGCATTAGGCAGCTGGATCCAGCGTAGAAGCTCTGTAGCGTCATCGGTGGTCCAGCCTCAAAGAAGGAATCCCCTGCGGCGAAGATCACGGCCAACAGGAAGATGACAAAGACATCCAAAGGTTTAGGTTCACTGATCATCTCCCACTTCATACTGCCAGCGGGCAATCGATAGTTCGTTGGAACATGCCAAAATATCTTCAGTACTAGGAATAAAGCCAAGAGTAGGGAGGCCAAGCAAAAGACCGCCCTTCGCGTAGCACGTCGTCTTGAGATCATTTGCCCCCAAAAGGCGGAACATAAACCGTTGGCCCCGAACAAGCTTGCAATCACCAAGCCAGTGAAGCCAGAGCCAGCCACCGGACAGGTCACATCCGTTTGGAAGTCTCCTAGAAACGGCAGCAAACTAGAAACAAAAAAGCGTGCTGTAACAGGCTGTTCGTTCGTTCGTTCGGACAAACTCTGTATGACTTCAAGCCACATGCATCTCTGCAAACATTTGGTGACCGGTCATCCGTGGGATGCGGCGATAAGCCCAAAGGCCACGCAAAGAAAAAAGCCCCTGTCCCAAGAAAAAGGCCAAGGTCATCCCATTGGTCAACATCAACGGGATCATCAGCGTCACCTTGGCATCCGTCACAGCCAACCTCAAGAGCAAACTTGCAGATCTCTAGGAAAGCGCTGTAAAGCACCAGGATCTTCCCTAAAACTCTTTAGGCAGACTTAAGGGTCTCCAAGTCGTACTCTCAACCATCACAACTCAGTGGAACCCATCAGTCCTGCAAAAGAACACCAACCCACTATTGTCACACAAGACACCTAATAGACGTAACATGTCTGCAAACCCTTGGCAAAAACAAAAACATAGTGGTTAGTATCGACAAAAGATATATATATATATATATATACACAATATATATATATATCAAAAGAGAAACAAGGTCAGAAAGCAAAAGGAAATGCCTGCGAGATCCTGAGAACCAACAGAAAGAGAGGCGACCCCCTGGCCTGCTGGTGTCCAAGATCCCAGCATGCTTGTCGTTAGCTCCTTCCACTGTCGGCATGGCCAGAAAGACCAAGGCCCCAACGAAGCTCAAGAGTCCCAAGGTCACAAAGAGCGCCTCCTTCGCCCAGGCGACCTGTGTGGTGCACCCATCTACTTGAGTAACCTCCCATCCAGATGATTGCGGCTTGATCAAGGTCTATCTACAGCGATCTTGTGACCCAATCCATGAAAACCCCGAAACCTCAAATCAGCTGGGGCAGCTCACACAAACTGCCTCACCTCCATCCATCCCTCCGCATTGCCTCCTTCAAGGACAACAAAATGACCGAAGACAAGACATTGCCAATCATGCCAGCGAACTGGTAAATGGAGAAGAAGAGGCTGTTATAGCCTGAAAAACAAAAAGTCGTGTCGCTTGGGAATCTGCTCTTGGGAATCGCTTGGTAATCTGCTCTGGGGACATCGACTTACCAACAAACTCCCAGGCCGTAGAGTCTTTGATTCCAAAAATCCGCCAATTCACAACCCCACAAAAACACAAAAAATATCGGATAATGCAACATCATCAATCTCCAGCTCGGCACGCGACAGTCTCTAGGTTGTGAGACGAGCCAGATTGCGTTGCCCGAATGCTAGATTGGCGTTTTCAAGGGACATTGGGACCTATCATTCAATGCACTGAGTTTACTTAATAGCTTTAAGATTTGTACCTACAAAAATTTGAAAAAAAAAACACCCACCAAAAGTTTTGATTCGTCCTTCCTATTTATTCCTCGTTCTACTTCAAACCACAACCTTGAACATTAGTTGTCCGCCAAAGTTGTCTGAGTCGTCGGGACACTGAGGAAAGTGAACCTGTCTTTGTCTCTCTTCATCAATAACTGCATTTGATGAAAAATTTGGAGCACACAATTTTTTTGAGGCGCTTTTGGAAAAAAAGTTTGGTTTATTGTTTTGATCAAAAATAGCCAGGTAAAACCGGCATAAACAAACACCCCCCGCTTCATGGTGCGGCTCTAGTTAGACTCTAGTTGGCTAGGGGTAAAACTGGGACGGTGGGCGGGAGTCTATGTATTTTATACAAGCACTCAGAACATCTTTTGAAAAGCACTTTGTCACAAGAAGCAAGTGTCACAAAGGGTTCTGCAACATCTCACGCACACAGGAAGTTGCACGCTTTGTTCTACAAGCAACAATTCTAGAATCTGCGCTAAAGCTCGCAGTGTCAAACAGCAGCCTTGCTAGATGGCAGGTGCTCGGCGTCTGCTCCCACATTTTGCCGGCTTTGAACATTGGGCAAGGCAACGGGAAACTGCTGATACCATGGTTTCGGTGTCAGCGACAAGGCTCCTGCCACAACTACATCGACTACAATTACGACCACGGGTGATTATAGCCACCACTAGTACAGCTATACTATATTGCGAACTTTTCTCGATAAGCAAAAGGGCTGCGAGCAGGTCAAAGCTGATGTACATGATGTACACGCTAGCTATGAAATACCTTGAAACTTCTTCACACTCCTTCTCGGTAGTGTGAGCGCTCGAATTGCAAAATAGCTCACTCTGCTGCCATAGTCCTGCCTGCTTCCGTCATACTTCTGAGGTCTCTAGCGGGGTACTTTCTGGATTGTCTATTTTCGCTTCCCCGAGTTCTAGCAACTGTTCATATACCGATTCTTCTCGTATTCAACCGTTTCTGCTCGGTCCTCTTGTATTCTCCCTAATGTTCTCCAATGTCTTTCTCTCAGTCGCTCAACAGCTTCTTTCAAGTCGACCGCACATTTGTATCGCTTGCTCTTCCTCATATTCTACTTTGTTCCACTGCTCTCTATTTCCTGGTTTGAGTCTTCTTGACAACGGTAGACACGCTCCTCGAGTGGCTGCTTGCAACGTCACAGGATGTCCATGATATCGCTGACTTTGTTGATCTCATGTCTGCCAAGCTCCTTCTTGCTAAGAAGTTCCCTGCGTTCAGCTCACTCAGTATATCATAACTGATGATGGTGAGAGTACCTGGTTCTCCTGGAATAGTTCACCAGATTGTCTAACCTGTGTCCATCTTCTTCATAATTCTGCTGCGTCCACTCTGTCTCTCAAAGTTTCCATCACCAACAAATATCGTTCTTCAAAACGCTTGTAAAGTCTTCACATTGCAAAGGTCATCGCTCCAAAACCGATGGTCATGACCAATTTCTATTGGAGTCTTCCACTTCCAATCTGCATTGGCCGATTTCCTTGTCTCTAATGAACGCTTCTGTAACCATTGGCTGCAAGCCCTTAAATGTCACAATTCTGACAATAATTTTGGCAATTTTGTTGACCTTGCTTGCAAAGTCCTTTTTCTTTTCATACACCTTTCTTGCGCGCTCACCAAACTCTCGGTTGCTCTTCACTATGCCAATACCCAATGAGGTTCATCAAGTATTTGAACCTTTGGCCTCCAAGTGGTTTGGTATTGATATCTGCCATGCTGCTGTCTGTTGGTACTTGTACCGTATTGAAGTCTTTCCTGTTCTGAATCCACAGCAACTTTCCATCTAAATGTCTCACTTTCCCAACTCCTGTTTCCAACACAAGCTGGCTGAAGAACCTGTGAAGATGTAATGGCCCACCTTTGTCCCAAGCGCAAATTCAGGAACTGAGCCAATATAGATACAATCTGACGTTGAGGAAACTATGGCATGTAACTCTGCTTCGCGTGAAGATAAACCTATGATCTTCTGTGTCCTGCTGCTATTGAACGGTGGACAACTGTTCATTGCATGGAAACCTTGCGACGTTGACTTTCTGTGGCTTTGCTTTCACTCCGGTCTGAATCTGAGAATGTTTCCAATCACCAATTGCTTTCTCCTTTCTTCACATAGCCTTCTCCTGCCTGGAAACTCAACTACTAGACAATAGCCCACAGTCTTCTTCAAGTATCCTAAGAATTTCTTCGGGCGGTGAAGCTGTTGGTTGGGCTTGCCATTCTTGAAGCCAAGTCCTTCACTGTAAAGGCTACATCAAATCTTTCTTGACATAGGTAGATACTTCTGAATAGGCTAGTCTTTCCTTGATCACTCAAGATCTACGATGTGTCTTCCATCTGGATGGAGTTGTCTGCCGGTAGTTGTTGGGGCTTGATCTTTCCAATCTGCTCTTCATAGGCTTTCAGCATCTGCTGGATGTAGTTACCTGGTTGGATCCATAGTCCATCCTTTTCTAGTTTGTACTTTCTCCTCAAATTTTTACTCGTCACCCGTCTTCTCAATGTTGCTCACACTGGTGTCAAACCTGTCTTGAATCTTTGGAAAAAATCATTGGGGTACCATGAACAACCTGTGAAAATCAAATCACCCACATGGGTCAAAATATACTCCTCTCATTCTTCCTAGGCAATGGGCAAGTACTTTGTGAAAAAGTCATACCACGCTTTTGCTCCAACTCTCTGTCCAGGTAAACTTTCAAGTTCTCCTCTCAAGTTCACTTTCAACGCCTTCTCCTGTGGAACCTGCAAGAATGCATCTTTCACATCAAGACATGCTAGCATCTGAGAAAATGCTCCTCCTCTCCCTCTTGCTTCTTCCTATTCACAGACTCTCTGCAAGCATATTGTGGGTAGCAGCTTCAGTACGTGTCCTGAAGTTGCCGGTGAGAAAACGTCATCTCTCTTTCGTTCAACAAAAACAAATTCTCTTGCAACTAGTCTTGGTCTAATCTTCGTGTTGTCAGCTGGCTGATACCTTCTGCGGTACCTTCTGGTCTCTCTAGCACTTGCATCTTCTGGAGTCTTTTCTCCTCATCCATTCTTCTGGATCTTTTTCTGGTTCCTGTTCTCCATCACGCCACAAACATTCTGGTCCATTCGCTTCTTCTTCTTCCTCCTCCTCCTCTTCGTCCCAGTCCTCTTCGTCAACTTCTTCTGCAACTGGGGATACAGTAGTTCACACGAAAAAGGTCTTCTCCTGCAACTTTCACCAAAATGATCTTGGCTTTCTTGCTTGAATCTTCTGATGGCCTGAGTTTCTTCATAGGACTTTCTTCTTCAAACAATTCAATTGCTTCCCTTGGTCTCGAAGGCGCTGGTGATCTCAATGAATATAGTATGGGAGCAACTGGATTGGGTTGGCCTGCTGGTAGTGTTGTAGACGGGAATGCCTTCACTTTCGCCGCAGCAGCAGCAGGAGCAGCAGCAGCAGCAGCAGACCAGCAGACCAGCGGACCAGCAACCCAGAAGCAGCAACACCGGCAAGGATCCACAGCCTTTCCCGAGCTCTTCCCATGATCAAGGTCAAGCTAAGTATACCCCCAACCATAGTTTCCTCCCTGACTCATATGCTTCGACGCAGGGCTTCCAAAGCACCCAACGGTCTCCATGATGGAACAATCAGTCATTTCTCCCGGTGTGGGCGGACCCAGCCGCGTAGCGGCGCGAATATGTTCAACAAGAGAGAAGCGAAGGATGACGCCCGCCGCGGCCCCTGAAGACCGGCGAAACTCAGCAAAACCGACGCCCAACTGACGCCCTGATCCAAAAGGCTGGTGGTCCACTTCTCCGTTGGCTCCTGCAAGAGCTTGGCCACTGAAACAGCGCTCCGACCCACATAAGTGTTCTGCGCTGTCCAAAGAAGCGGCGCTGCAACCCCGACGAGAACATTGAAAGCCACAGGGACCTGAGGCCACCAAGAACCGCCAGTCAGACCCAGCGACCGCAGTTGAGTTTGCGGGCTCCAACTAGATGAAATCAGATCAAAACCACTTCCAATGTGTTACAGGTAGTGGCAAAGAAATCTCTCCAAAGTCCTCGTCGTTGGCGACTTTCTGGATCTATAACATGTCCAAGAAAATACGAAACTGTCATTCATGTTCAACTAAGGCACCGCCCAGACTGGTGAGGGCTCAGCTGGTACCACCAGCAAGTTCGAGAGCGCCTTCGGTCTGCCGTGGTGACATTGGAAGGAGGATGCTGAAGATGGGCTCCAATTTCTCACATCATGTACATACTCCCTACCTACCTCAATTTCAATGTACTGAATGGATGAGTCCCCTGGACGCCAAATGTCTATGCGTTGTGGTCTGACCCAGTTAGAAGTGGGAATGTACCTCCTCAGTTAAGCAAAGATCTAGAACATGTCCAGACCTTGTGTCCGGGGAAAATAATCTTCCTGGCGAAAGTTGTTAGGATTGCTGGACTTGATGGAGCTACCATGAGTCACAGGTATCGGTGTGGGGGGTGGCAAGAGGTAAAGCTTCAGCCTGACGGCTGGCTGGAAAAACAAAGTCGGACATTGTCGGGCCATGCTTAATAGACGATTCTGTGGTAAGACGTAGATTTCATGCCCAACATGATTTGGTAATAGGTGGAGGACATGTTTCTCAAGCCCTTTGGAGGATAATCAGCTCCAGCTGGGCGACTTCTGCCGAGGTTCCATGGCCGAATACGCTGCAGAGCAAATCAGCAAGATGAGTTGCATCCCCAGGCATTGCTCCAAGTTGACTAGTAGAGGAGGGGCGACTAAACAAAGGATGGAGAACGTGCCATACCTGACTAGTTGAAAGAAATAAGAAGAAAATGGTGAGGCCCCTCTATTAAGGCACCCTTTAAAGGGGCCTCATCAAGGGACCCTTAATGTCCTTGTGTCTTCTCCTTTTCCACGTCGTGGAGTTTGTGTTTTCTGGAAAAAACAGCACAGTCAGCAGTGTCCACATTGCATCGGCTGTTCGAAGAAAGTCTGGTGCAGAAATTCAAAAGCGATATATATATATATATACATATTGTTTTTTTCATGTTTCTGAACATCCCCTCTCCAAGCTGCAGGGCTGCCAGATTAAGCTCACCCAGGTTCGCATTCAGCGAGCTTTGCAGCCCTTGGGCTGCCTGAAAGCCTCCAAAGACACCCAGAAACCCAAAGCTCAGCAACCTCTGCAGCCAAACCGGTGAAAATCAAGGAACCAAGGACCACAGTGAGGTTCATGGGCCGTTCTGTTCTGGTCTCCTAGCTTTGGCGAGAGCAACCGGGATGTTTTACTTGAGGGCAGTGCCAAAAAGCTGTTGTGTTTCAGCTGTGGTTGAGATCCCCGGTGATACCCAGTGCATAGCCCGGTTGAAGAAGTGCAGTGGCCAACTCCTTGAAGGCTGAGGATTTGGAGGCCTTCTTAACTATCTTGAATTTCAATGTTGCAGTCAAACGGTCAAAAAAAACATCTAAACTAGACGACGGTTGGCCCGAGAGCGAGACATGTAATTGTCCAGCGCTGTCGAAAAGATGTATAGAAAGAGAGAAAGAGAGGGTGGATGTGAAGGAGTGACAGTGTGGATGCGCAGGTGCGATATAGATCTGTAGTGGATGTACAGATGTGAGATAGATGTGCAGATGTGTGGGTGTGGTGAGGTGGAGAGGTAGATCTGCGGATGTGAGCGTGTGAAAGACGTAAATGTAGAGAGGTGAGGGGGTGTAGACGTAGATGCGTCGATGCAACGGCAGCGCAACGTCAACCTTAATCGTGCAAGTACAACGCTGCAGAGGTTCAAATAGAACTGAAGAACGTACATTTCACACTGAAGTTTCCACGAACAGGGCGACCTGAGAGTAAACGATGTCACGATCATGACAAGCGACTCGTGTATTCCAAGCGAACATCGTTTGTCATGAAGGTGAAGTACACACATACTAATGTCACGATGACTCTTTTGTGCTTTTGTGGCAGCCACTTATGAGTAAGCAAAGTAGCTAAAATTTGTCAACCTCTCAAGAGAGCCGGGTGGCGCGAGAGATGACTCAGCCGCGAGAGATGACTCATCCGCGACTTTATAAAGTTGTACTACAAAGTCGCCAGTTCTCAGCTTCCAGCTCCACAGATTGCTCCGCGTACTAAAGTTGTACTAGAAAGTTGCCAGTTCTCATCTTCCAGCTCCCCAGATACTCCGCCTACTAAAGTTGTACTACAAAGTCGCCAGTTCTCATCTTCCAGCTCCACAGCTTGCTCCGCGTACTCAAGTTGTACCACAAAGTCGCCAGTTCTCAGCTTCCAGCTCCCCAGATACTCCGCGTACTAAAGTTGTACTACAAAGTCGCCAGTTCTCATCTTCCAGCTCCCCTGATACTCCGCGTACTCGAGTTGTACTACAAAGTCGCCAGTTCTCAGCTTCCAGCTCCACAGATTGCTCCCCGTACTAAAGTTGTACTAGATTGCTCCGCGTACTAAAGTTGTACTACAAAGTCGCCAGTTCTCATCTTCCAGCTCCCCAGATACTCCGCGTACTAAAGTTATACTACAAAGTCGCCAGTTCTCAACGCACAATCCCCGCAGAGGGTTGCCCGCGACCGGGACAAATCGCACTCTCGCCTGCATTTCGTGCGCTCGACACGCACGATCCGCGCAGAGGGCTGCCCGCGACAGGGACAAATCGCACTCTCGCCTGCACTTCGCGCGCTCGACACGCACGATCGCCGCAGAGGGTTGCGCGCGACCGGGACAAATCGCAGTCTCGCCTGCATTTCGCGCACTCGACGCGCAATCTCCACAGAGGGTTGCGCCGGACAAAACCAAATCGCAGTCTCGCCTGCGTTTCGCGCACTCGACACGCGCGATTTCCGCAGAGGGTTGCGACGGACAGAGACAAATCGCACTCTCGCCTGCATTTCGTGCGCTGGACACGCGCGATCTCCGCAGAGGGTTGCCCGCGACCGGGACAAATCGCAGTCTCGCCTGCATTTCGCGCGCTCGACACGCACGATCTCCGCAGAGGGTTGCCCGCGACCGGGACAAATCGCACTCTCGATTTCGCGCATCCGACACGACACGCACGATCTCCGCAGAGGGTTGCGTTTCGTGGCGGTCCTGCGGCACTGCCCCCGGCCTTAAGAGAGAAAGTTAAGAAGAGCGAGAGGTGAAGATGTGAGATGTATAGATGAGAGGTAAAGATGTGAGATGTAGATGCGAGGGTGTGAAGATGAGCAGAGATGTAGATGCGCAGAAGTGAACATGAGCAGAGATGTAGATGTGTGAAGATGAAGATGAGCAGAGACGACGTGAGGGTGTGAAGATGTGCAGAGATGTAGATGCGCAGTTGTGAATGTAGATGTGAAGGTGAGCAGAGATATAGATGAGAATGTGGATGTGCAGAGGTGAAGATGTGAAGATGTAGATGAGACGTAGTTCTGCAGATGTTTTTTTACCCTTCGCAGACGCTCTCGGGAATTGACCCCAAAAATTGGGCAAATGTCAAGAAAACAAAGTAAAACTATATAACCCGCCACGCAACTGCACGCCTCTCCGGTAGGCAGATTCCTGCGTCGCTAGCATGGTGGCAAAAGCACAGGACCAGCGGAGCTTTGAGCCGAGATTCAAGAATGACTGATCGGTCTCAAAATGGGCATCAATGGGCCATAATCCTCATAGCATGAGAAAAACTCATGGGTTTGCAAATCATTCTACAATACAACACTGAAGAGATTGGACAGGGACGTCGTGCCTGACTCTAGGCTTTCCTCCTGCCAAACTTCACATTCAAACCGGCAATGTTGTATATATGTATATATATATATAAATAAAACTATATAAAAGGCTTGAATGTTAGTTTTTAATATGATTGAAAAGCATAGTCACTGTGTGCTTGGAGGAGGTCTCCCTACTGCCACGACGCGAAAGGGAAGAACAAACATCGCGAAACACTTGGTGTCCTCGACGGGTCTTGTCATCTCAGCTCTGCCTGCAAACGAGTTCAACGTCTTCGGACGCCAAGTCTGGTCTTCGGACGCACCGGTCTCGGTCTTCTCGGCGTGCCTGATGTCGCCATAAACGCTTCGATGTGCGCCACGTCGCCCTGCGGTCGGAGAGCGGACGATTCAACAAGTTCAAAGCAGTATACTACAGCAACAACCCTGCTTATTGGACAAAAGATACAGTGCAAAACAGGCTATCTTTAATCAGACAAAACTTATGCCCTAACCCTCAGCAAAGGAAAACCTCTGCAGAAAACTATGACAGATTTTGTGAGTTCAATGGTTTTTCCAGGAGGATCTCCATCTCAAATGAACTTGGTCGTGGAGCTGTCGGCCTTCCCATCCTCATAGAAAGCTGGAGGCTCTGCAGGAGCTTGAGCAATGCCAGGAGGGCCTGAGCAGTCGCTCTCTGAAACAGGAACTGGTCTGCGGCCGAAAAGTTTGCTTTACGACAATCAATCGCCCCTGATCTCTTTTTCTGGGTTGTCCCAGCTTGGCTTCGGCTGTGGTGGGATCGATGGTGGAATCGATGGCGGTATCGATGGCGGCGCCTCGCCAGTTGTGAGGCTGCGCAATAAACAGAGACGCGCGGAAACTTGAAAACCCTGAAGTCAAAATGTGCTCCTTCATGCGGCCTGCATGGGCGCCCCTGTCGGCCGCGAGGAAGCGTCAGTAGACGGCCTGCAGTCACTTCAAAGCTCTGAGTTGGATGTCCAGTTTGGTTTATACAGCCAAATGCTGTTTAACTACACTGTCAACCCAAAAACTCAGGTTCTAACAACTTCAATGAGAACACAGTCACGCATCGGAAACATCTCTCCAAATGACATGAGACAACTCTCGCAAATCACTCAAGCACCTTTTTCACAGGGTGTCAAGTCGCCACTCTGGCTATGGGGCTGAAGGATGGTGGCGTACAAAAATGCAGCTTTCAGAGTGCGTCAAGAACGACTAGAAAACTTCTGTCTGTGGGCAATGAAACTCTGCGCTTGACAGGAAGCTTGGAAGGCTCAATGATTTCAATGACCCTTTCAAAGATCGAATCCAGGGCGCGCGACGACTGTCACACAGTGTCAAAAATGAGATCTTGAAGTCGAAGAGTTCGCATCCGAATCTGCTGCTGTAACGCACAATTGGCTGCAGGAAAAGGCCGACGCGGCCATCGCAACATGGACATCATCAGATGCCTCCTCAAGATAGCCGCTGATTGGAAGACGCGCACCAAAAATCCTGTAACTGAAAAAGCAAAGAAGTAAGTAAGCTCTGCCTCGACGAGAGGCAAAAAGATTCAAAGTTGCTGCACTGCTACACATGGAAAGGCTGTCTGAACTGCAGTTTTTGCAACAATCGATCACAAGTGGAGAAACCAATTCCACGGGAGGGCGGTGAGGAGGGGGTAATTCCTCACACTGCACTCTGGCAGAATGGCCAGTCACAAACTTCAACGAATGTCCAACGATCCAAGAACATGTGACTGACCACGTCGCAAACTGAAACTATTGACCTCAAAAAAGTTTTGGGGGCGACGCGTCAAACGAGCGCTGCGCCTGTGAAAACGACACTGTCCCTTCGTTGTGTTTGAAGGCTGGGTATGGCTCATCCGAAGCGAATTGCGCGTTGGTGTCGGGTGATTCGCTTGACTCCCCCAAAAAAAAACCTTGGCCCGTTGGCCCTCCTCCTCTTCTGCGAGATCAATTTCAGCCACGAATAGCACATCTACCGATATCTGAGAATCTGGTCCAATATCAAATCATCTTGCAAGCGAACTGCACTTCAACCAACGCGACGTAGGTCTTCGTTTTTCTGAACGATTTCGCGCAACCGCTGCGCCCATTTGGACTTCTCTCGAATGGCCAAGCAAATTCTTCGCCCAGCTTGAGGCTCGAGGAGTTCCCTGCCGCGCGCAATGCACATGACTGTGACTTCCTGGACTGGCGCTAACGGGCTAGCAAGACTCAACCGCGCACGTCGTTTTGCGGGTCGACACTCCAAGACACTGCTCGTCTTGCCAAGTCCAGATGGAATGTCGGTTACATCATGACATACTCTTTAGATTCATTAGATGTCACTCCGCCCTGACCATAATCCCGCGCAGAATAAAAATCTTTCCGCGCTCAGCATGCCTTCCAACTTCCCGATCTCAACCACTCAATGGCCTGCTTGGTTAAGTTCCTCTTCTGCGCTTCCTGAACGAACCTGCACCCCCTTCAAGGCAGCGCGTCATCTCAAATGTCAAGGATGAGGATTATCCGCGTGTATTTCAACGTTCGAGGGCCTCGTCACGCAGAGGTCCTGCTTCTGTTTTTGTCAAGAAAGAGCCTCACTAAGGACGCATTGCAACGCTGGCGCTTGCCCGCCTGAATGATTAAGCTCCATGTCTCAAAGGTGTTCTGCTCAACCGCTTCATCTCCACAAAACGCACGTTCTTCGCATGGCCTGGCAGCGGCGATGAATCTTGCGCGCGATGTAAACTGGCCCTTCAAAACACATGCTCCAGGACTCAGCTTCGGGCATTACGCGCATGATTCACGTCGCGTGATTCTATTTCTTTCTCCTTCCAACCTCAAAGCCTTCTGCGCAGCCACCTCTCATTGAATCTGCGCCCTCCATCTTGAGAGGAAAACTGACCGACCCTTCCAAATGTCGAGGTTACATTGATACGCGGCCTAAACCGTTCTTGCGCGCACAGCTACCGAACATCGAGATCACGAAATTCCATCAAAGACCATTAAGCTTTGCGCGAAAACGAAGGGCTTGCTCAGGATAGTTTTGCAGGGCTCAAGGCTTTCATCGCTGGACAGTTACAAGTCGACATGCCGAGCAAGCTTTCATGCCTCACCTCTCCAGCATAAAATCCTGGGCGTCCATGTTCAAAGGTAGATTCTTTCTTTAACGTTTTCGCGGACGCAAACTTGCTCGACCTACCACGCGATTTCAATCTGTCACGCTGATTCACTCCTGCGTCTCCAACTTGGTGAGGCCTTACTGACCGATTCGGCGAGCTGATCGTAGGGTCTCCTCAGGTTGTGAGGTCAGCCAGTCATTGATTAGAACGTCCTCCTGGAGAAACACCGCGCAAAACTTCACGAGCATTCACAAACACCTATCAGGATTCTGAACACTCGTTCAAGTCCAGATGAGAAGAGTGGTGGTCTGCAAACGCCTCACTCACTCAAACTCCACTCCACAAGATTTTTCACCAACGCCCCAAACCCGACACGTGGCTTGAACTCACTGGGGCCCATCAACCTCGGTTCCAATGCAAACAGGAAAACGCCTTCTTACTTGAGAAGAACGTTCACTCCTCGGGGTTTCCATGTCTTCACGCTCAAGTTTCAGATTCACACGGGGACACTGGTCCCGTCGTAACTGGCGAAGATACACGCGCGCGTGCTCAAGACAATTTCATCACCGTTGAGCGAAGCACGCTGCACAAATGGAAATTGCAGCGCAACTGCAGACGAAGCTTGCTGCCCAACCAGCCAATGGGATATATAGAGCTTCCGCCCGTGGCAAAACAAGAGCAAAGCAGAGAACGTGATCCAACGCGGACTGTAGGTTGCCTTGAGGGCCCAAGCATGCCAGGGGACTTCGCTCCATGTGATGTGAGGCCTCATCAACTGAGTTGGCACCGGTAGCGTCGATGGTCTCGCTGGAGATCAATATAGGCGCAGGCTCAAGCGCAGGAAGCGCGGCCAGTGCAAGATCATCAGCTGCTGCCACCTCACCATTGATCGTAGGCCCCAGAGAGTTGGCCGAACGTGTTGTACCCAGGCCCCGCCGATCAAACAGCGAAGTGCCGGCCAGCGTCTCAAACTACAGTTCTAAAAATACGCACTTTTCCTTGACTCTCAACAGGGCTGCGCAGTATTGTCACGCATTCATCATGATGCTTGTAACACTATATACATGAGGTCTGATCTCTATTGGAAAATGGTTCGCATTCCTTGTTGGCGATGTGGGACTCTAAACTGCTTCTTTGAGCTCACTTTGCAACAAGAGTCTACTTTCTTCCATTTCGCTCGCCCCTTTTTCTCTGCAAATTGTCTACTCTCTCAAGAACTGGATTGGCGATATCTCCGCTGGTGGTCTATCTGGAAAGTTTCTCCTCGCGACTGCACATTCTAGCAATTCCTTCTACTTGTCCATCTCTTTCTCTACCGTATCTGCTGCTTCATGATGTCCTCAACTCATAAGATTCCAGTGTGTCTCATGGAGTTGCCCTAGCTTTGCTTTTTCATCATGCTCTCACAAAACCGAAGCATTAACCATTTACCTCCTCTTCTCACCAAAGTGGTTCTCATCAGCTCTGGTGATTCTTCCAATTCTGGAATGGCTTTGGGGTCCACAAATCTGGAAGTCAATAGGCTTCCAACTAGCAGTCCATGCTCATTGAATCTCCAACCCGGTTCTTACTCCAAAGCCTCAAGTACTTGCACCTCCAAGCAGTTCTCAACTTCATCTCGAACGACTCTAATGCGGCCTCGAACTGTCAAAGAGCGATTTTGTAGGTTAAGTGGTACCATTCTCCTACATTTGCTCTCTGCTATTGATTCCCCAACCATGTTCCATCAACCTTCCATAACAAAGTATCGGCTGATTCACCTTTGAACTGAAGATCACATTCTCTTTGAGAAGAACTTCTCGTCCATTTTCGCACCTCATGTGGGGATACAATTTCCTTGCGCATCTTGCAGCGTGGTCTTTGCGCTGAATTGTAGCGCTCCTTTTCTTCGATCTGCCACGCTCAAAGGGAATAACGCTACATCAGCTCCACTGTCAATAACGATGGCCACATCCGCGTTCTCTTCCCCAAGTCTCCTCACCATGGGTTCATCGTCTGAAATGTCAATCTCCTCAACTTCTTGGAATTCGGACTCATCATCATCATCAACATCATCACCATCATCATCATCATCCAATGTGGAATTGAATTACTCGGGTTCCCTGATGGTCTAGCTCATCATCTCCTTGTCTCAAGTCAAAGATGACTGGCTCACTGTTCTCCATCCTCCTGAGCTACCTCGTTGGCTCACATTGGCATGCAGTTGACCAAATGTGTGAGTTGTTTGCGACGCTCCTCCTGAAGATGAATGGGCTTGATCACTTGCTACCTGTCGAGTATTGTTCCTCCAACAGTCTCAAGCAAGATGCTTGGCTTTCCACAAGTGACCAGACCCTTGCCTTTTTGGTCTTTGCCTTTATCTTTGCCCTTATAATCACCTTCTTTTCCTTCCTGATCTCTTGCCCTTCTTGCCCTTCTTGCCCTTTCCTTTGGCATCTTGGACTCGATCAGCATTTATTGGCAGAGGTCCTTGAGAGTCTGTACTGCTACTCACCACCATGGAAGTAGCCCACTTCTGCTGAGACCTATCCCACTCCAACCCTTCCCTCAAAGTTGAGTTTTGAACATTGTCACCAAGGGTCAAATTCAAGCAGGATTTGAGTTGACCACCTACACATCTCAAAAGAATGGCAGATTTCAGCTCTTCCCGAATTGCAGTACCTGACTTGACTGTCTCATCAAATACCTCTTCAAGCTTCAAGAGTTGAGGTTGTAGCGCACTGTTCATGGAAAATGCTGGCCATGTAGTGGCTGCTCTTAAGAGTGCTAAGCCTCTCACCTTTGAAGTTGGTTTCAAAGTCTTGTTCAAGCGTCAAATCCATTGGCGTCATCTACATCTTTCACCAATTGCAGCGCCCTTCCTCTTATCAATGAAGCTAACAATCCATAGAGCTTGATGCACCTAGTCTTTTCTGCCTCAGTTGCCAAGTCCATGTCAAATTTGTCATCTGGCTTCTCGTGAGTTTCCTTCAAGTCCTTCATGTAGCCCTCATCAACTGCGCTCAGGTACTTTTCAAGTACCCACGACCACTCTCTGAGTGTTGGAAAATCTTCTCCTTGTGGCTTGTCGTCAAAGATATTGAGCTTTGCTATCAATTTTGACCTATCTGTGGTTGATGACTTCTTGTCCTCAACAGCTTTCTCCACCGCCTCAGCTGCTGATGTTGTTGCCGGCGTACTCTGTGCTATCGTCTGAAGGATTTCCCTGATCTCCTCCATCTTCTCCTTGTACAAATGTCTCTTTGACACGATGTACTGAGTACAGAGCGGTGCTCACAACAATTATTCACCAGTCCAGATTTTTGGGTTCCAAAGGCCCCAAATCTATGGCACCCGGGATCCCAGTGACCTAGGGGCTTTTCGCTCAGAGCTCCAGAGGGGTTACCTCCTTCTCAGCTCCGCTACCATACGCACTTTTCCTTGACTCTCAAAAGGGCTGTGCAGTATTGTCACGCATTCTTCATGATGCTAGTAATGCTATATACATGAGGTCTGATCTCTATGGAGAATGGTTCGCGAAAAAGAGTTTTTGAAATGTGTCAAACAAGCACTACAGTCAGCTAGTTAAATAGGCACTGTCCCTTCGTTGAAGGGAGGCGTTACTTCTTGTGTACTCATATGCATATGCATATACAGTACATCGTAAATACAATGTGGTGTTGAGCATCAGAGGAGACAATAACTCTGCGGCGTCCAAAAGAACCGCGGATGACTTGTTGCACTTACCGTGAGAGAAACGCAGCATTGTCATCGGTCCATCACCACGCTGCTGTCCTGCGGGGTGGCACTGTCTGCGGCGGCACTGCCTGACCTGAGAAGCACCGTAGTCCGGAGCTGAACGGGTCCAATCTGAGAACCCGCAAACTTTATAGTGAACGTTCAATTCATCAAATGTGGCTTTCTCAGGCAACAAACCAGCAGCGAGCAGGTGTTTGTCCATGTTTGTCTCAAACGCTTCTTTTTGGAGAACGTCAACCATACTTGCTGCTTTTCTTCAAGTGATTCTGTCCTCACACGCTTCATGCTTCCACTCCATGTCCAAAGCCCCGTGCCATCATCTGGCCGGCTTACGCCTTCAGCCTGCAAGACTGGGCATATGTGTGGCAAAGAGAGTGGAAAACCCACCACACTGATCGCTCAAAGTGTAACATGGTTTCCCAGAACCTCTCTGGTCAGCAACACCAAGTAGGACAAAAACAATACTGTAGCAATTTTTTGGCGGGTTCTCGGCGCAATAGTTTTTCGCGATGCTTGTAGTCGTCTAGGCCAGATACAGTCAGTATCAAGGACAACAACATCAAATCATGTTCATCTAAATTATGGCCTCATAGAAAGCCGGACGCTCTGCCGGAGCTTGAGCAATGCCAGGAGGGCCTGAGCAGATTCCCTCTGAGACAAGAACTGGTCTGCGGCTGAAAAGCTTACTTTACGACAACCATCGCCCTGATCTCTTTTTCTGGGTCGCCCCGGCTTGGCTTCGGCTGCGGTGGGATCGATGGTGGAATCGATGGCGGTATCGATGGCGGTGCCGGTGCCTTGCCAGCTCAGGCGATGTGAAACAAAGAGCATGGAAATCCTGAATGAGAATGCGCTTCGTCACGCGGCCTGCAAGGGCGCCCCTGTCGGTCCCAAGGAACTGTCAGACGGCCTGAACGGGATGTCCATTTTGTTGCGACACTAAGTCGTTCTTTTGTATTCTTATATACATGCGCCTATGCCTATATATATATATACATATGCATACACATCGGAAATACAATGTGGTGTTGAGCATCAAAGGAGACAATAACTCTGCGGCGTCCAAAAGAACCTCGGATGACTTGTTGCACTTACCGTGAGAGAAACGCTGCATTGTCATCGGTCCATCACCACGCTGCTGTCCTGCGGGGTGGCACTGTCTGTGGCGGCACTGCCTGACCTGAGAAGCACCGTAGTCCGGAGCTGAACGGGCCCAATCTGAGAACCCGCAAACTTTAGTGAACTTTCAATTCATCAAATGTGGCTTTCTCACGCAACAAACCAGCAGCGAGCAGGTGTTTGTCCATATTTGTCTCAAAACCCTTCTTTTTGTGGAACGTCAACCATTCTTGCTGCTTTTCTTCAAGCGATTTTGTCCTCACATGTTTCACGCTTCCACTCCATGTCCAAAGCCCCGTGCCATCGTCTGGCCGGCTTACGCCTTCAGCCTGCAAGACTGGGCATATGTGTGGCAAAGAGAGTGGAAAACCCACCACACTGATCGCTCAAAGTGTAACATGGTTTCCCAGAACCTCTCTGGTCAGCAACACCAAGTAGGACAAAAATAATAGCAAATCGTTGGTGGGTTCTCGACAATGTCACGCACAAGTTCACTTCTTTTGGTGCGCTCTCACAATCCCCCGCGATGTTTGTAGTCGTCTAGGCCACATACAGTAAGTACCCTGAGAGTGCGCTCAATCAAGGAGAACAACATCAAATCAAGCGCATGGACCACCAAAAGTCTCCTGCTTTATGTAAATTATGGCCTTAAAGAAAGCTGGAGGCTCTGCCGGAGCTTGAGCAATGCCAGGAGGGCCTGAGCAGTTTCTCTCTGAGACAAACTGAAAAGCTTGCTTTATGACGATCAATCCCCGCTGATCTCTTTTTCTAGGTCGCCCCGGCTTGGCTTCGGCTGCGGTGGGATCGATGGTGGAATCGATGGCGGTTTGGATGGCGGTGCCGGTGCCTTGCCAGTTCAGGCGATGTGAACAGAGACACAAGGGGAATTCTGAAAATGCTCAATGAGAATTCAACTACTTGCCGGGACCCTCAATGGTTGCAATGTAGACCCAAAAATCTAGGGACTTCCGTACCCTTAGGCCTTATCGACAAGTCAACGCAAAGGTGTTAGACCTGCCCTCAGGAATTCTAGCAGCGGCCTGAAATCATGCAACCAAAAAATGACCCTACCATCCGAGACCCTGTGATTCAATGCCATGTCAATCTCTCAAAAACCTTTGAACATTGATTAGTGACAATAGACTACAATAGCATATCTAACAAAAAACAAAAAGCAGCACAAATGTGAGTGTATTTGTCGTGATCAATCACTGACTAAGTTTCGACCCTCACCTTCATCCGAATTCAGCATACTCCAGCATTTGTTCACTCCATTTTAGGGGGAACAAGCTCCTCTCTTTCCTTGTATGCAAGGGTATGGATAGGTCTGGTTCAAAAAGCTGCATTGACAAACAGTTTGCCCAGCTTGTGACCAACGGGTCAAAATATCCACACCTCCAAATTGTTGGGTGTATTCTATGTTGCGCCACAAATGCGTCTTTTCACATTCCATCAAGATGTGGTTTCTTCAAAACAAAACGCCCTAAAATGTCCATGTGTTTTGCTCGCCTCCAAAAAGTCTACGATAATCAGGGCCAAGTAATCTACAATGAATATGTGACCATGTCAGAATGAGAATGTGCTTCGTCACGCGGCCTGCAAGGGCGCCCCTGTCGGTCCCAAGGAACTGTCAGACGGCCTGAACGGGATGTCCATTTTGTTGCGACACTAAGTCGTTCTTTTGTATTCTTATATACATGCGCCTATGCCTATATATATATATACATATGCATACACATCGGAAATACAATGTGGTGTTGAGCATCAAAGGAGACAATAACTCTGCGGCATCCAAAAGAACCGGGGATGACTTGTTGCACTTACCCTGAGAGAAACGCAGCATTGTCATCGGTCCATCACCACCCTGCTGTCCTGCGGGGTGGCACTGTCTGTGGCGGCGCTGCCTGACCTGAGAAGCACCGTAGTCCGGAGCTGAACGGGTCCAATCTGAGAACCCGCAAACTTTAGTGAACTTTCAATTCATCAAATGTGGCTTTCTCACGCAACAAACCAGCAGCGAGCAGGTGTTTGTCCACGTTTGTCTCAAACCCATTCTTTTTGTGGAACGTCAACCATTCTTGCTGCTTTTCTTCAAGTGATACTGTCCTCACATATTTCACGCTTCCACTCCATGTCCAAAGCCCGGTGCCATCATCTGGCCGGCTTACGCCTTCAGCCTGCAAGACTGGGCATATGTGTGGCAAAGAGAGTGGAAAACCCACCACACTGATCGCTCAAAGTGTAACATGGTTTCCCAGAACCTCTCTGGTCAGCAACACCAAGTAGGACAAAAATAATAGCAAATCGTTGGTGGGTTCTCGACAATGTCACGCACAAGCTCACTTCTTTTGGTGCGCTCTCACAATCCCCCGCGATGTTTGTAGTCGTCTAGGCCACATACAGTAAGTACCCTGAGAGCGCGCTCAATCAAGGACAACATCAAATTCAATTGCAGCAATGCCATCCACCAGTGTCTTGCAATACAAAGTCCTTTGAAGGTTCATTCCTCGTCTGAGAAAAGAAAGGATGCAAATTTCCATAAGAAACACCAGAAGGATCCAACAGGGTAGAAAAAACAATGAGAAACAAGGAGAAGATGTGCTAGCAAGCATTAAAGGAGGATTCCAAACAGCAAGGAGCGTGTTCAAACAGAAGGCCAAAGTGAATGTAGGAACAAACATGAAATTCGGTCTTCTGGATACGTGAAATATAGGGACATGACTCGAAACATGCTAGAACGGAAAAAGCACTTGAGTAGCCGTAGCCAAGCGTAGATGCCAAATTCAGACTACAATAGAGACAGGCTCTGAGGCTCGTTTCAACATGAAAGTGCTTTTCTCTGCCGAACTCAAAACGAATCCGTTCCAAGCCTTTATTTATTCAAGTATATAAACCTAAAATGATGCAATGTTCAAAGATTTGTCCAACAACGTAAAGGAAAACCAGTTCTGGATGTGAAAATGGAACCTGAAAGCAATTCGGGGCGGATAAAGCCCAAGGTCAGGAGGCTCGGACAGGCCCAGCACCGGCCCAGGTTCTGCAGCTTTCACGAACATGCTTTGAGGGTTGGCTTTCGTTCTGGAGGCTTTGTGGCTTGTTAATAATTCAATAATGTTCAAAGTAATTCCTAACAATAGATGCCGAAACTAGTCATGATACCGTGCGATCATCCACCTGGAAAAAAAGACTGGCCTCATAGAAAGCTGGAGGCTCTGCCGGAGCTTGAGCAATGCCAGGAGGGCCTGAGCAGATTCTCTCTGAGACAAGAACTGGTCTGCGGCTAAAAAGCTTACTTTACAACAATCAACCGCCCCCTGATCTCTTTTTCTAGGTCGCCCCGGCTTGGTTTCGGCTGCGGCGGGATCGATGGCGGAATCGATGGCGGTATCGATGGCGGTGCCGGTGCCTTGCCAGTTCAGGCGTTGTGAAACAAAGAGCATGGAAATCCTGAATAAGAATGTGCTTCTTCAGACGGCCTGCAAGGTTGCCCCTTCCAGTCCGGAGGAAGAGTCTGTAGACGGCCTGTGATCACTTCTAGCGTTTGAACTGGATGTTCATTCTCTTGCTACACGAAGTATTGCGATGTTTAGCCTTAAAGGAGACAATCATTCTTCGTTTTCCAAAACACCAGGATGAGACTTGCTGCACTTTCCATCAGACAAACTCAAGAAAAAGTCCAGCATTGTCACTGGTCCATCACGCTGCTATCCTGGCAGGTGGCTCTTCCTGGGGTGGCACTGCCTGACCTGAGAATCGCAGTTTGAGTGAAACTTTCGAGGCATCAAGTGCAGTGTCCGTAAACAACCAGCATGTGCACGCAGCAATCTCAAATCAATAAAGGAGTGAGCAAGTGTTCGTCCAAGTGCTTTGAAATCTCTATGTTTTGTCCTTGTGATGTTGTTCCCACATGCTCTGTGTCTGAAGGCCCAGGCCATTATCAGGCATGCTTACACCTTCAGCCTGCAAGACTAGGCATCTGTGAAGCAAGCAAAACAAATGGAAAGGCCCGGAAGTGGCTGGAGGGCCACAGTCTTCATCAGCTAAGGTGAAACAGAAGACCCAGAACCAGAAGTGTTAGAGGCACCAAGAACGGCCAAGGTAAGTGAGAAATTGACAGTGCCACACAGCCTCACATTTTGGAGAAAAGAGGGAATACCTGAACAAAGAAAATTTCAAAAAAGAACAGAAGGGGTGGCCATGGAGCCTGGGTTTGAGTTTTCCATAAATTTTAGGTAAATGCTAGACAAATGCATTGGTGCCACAGTCACGACTAAAAAACACTCATAAATATGCATAAAGGATCAAAAACACATAAGAAAAAAAACAAAAAAATGGGAAAACCAAAAAAACACAAAAATGAAACAATTCTCAGAGACTCTTGTCTGGACCCCCCAAAATCAGAAAAAAACAAAACAACAAAAAAAACCTTGGGAAACAAAAAACAATTCTCAGAGACTCTTGCCTGGACCCTCTTTTCCTCAAGACTTCCCGAGAATTGGTTTGTTGATTTTTGTTTTTTTGGCTTTCTCAACGGTTTTTTGTTTTTTCTGATTTTGGAGGGTCCAGCCAAGAGTCTCTGAGAATTGTTTTCTATTCTTTTATAGTGTTCCCAAGGTTTTTGTGTTTTAGCATCTGAGCTTACTTCTCATCTCAAGGCATCTGTTCTTTTTGCTTACATCTGAAACCGTCTGAGCTCAACACTTCCTGTGTCCTTGTCCACATCTCCATATACAAGTCTGAGTGCATTAACTGCTGACTGGTATCAATGCTGTTGCCAACTGCATGTCCAACCAGCTTGACATGAAACTGTAATGACACCTTCCAATTTACATGAAACTGTTAAGAATCTGTGTAAGCTGTAGTTCTAATTCAATGCTTGTTGCATTTGCTTCGGCTTTGTAATTTCGAAGCCTCCTCGACTTGTGCATCTTGTAGCTCAAGCGTTTTACATCTTATTCTGGCGAACTTTTAATGTTAATTCCAATTCCTTTCTACTTCAACTCTCATCTAAGTTTAAATAGGTTGTAGTTATAGTTCAATACAAGTTTACTTGAAATTCGGTTTTAATTCAATTCTATCTTAGCTCTAACTCAAATCCAATTTAACTCTATCTAATTCTATGCTAGCTCTAGTCTATGTAGTTTAAGAAAACACATGCTGCAAAACCCCGTGTTTTACAGTATTTTTTGCCCTGGGAGTGCTGGGAACAAGACCAAAACGTTTTTTTTGGAGTAAGTAGTTGGATTTATTGATTTACAGTATCACTGGAGATCATATAGACCTATTAAACATGTCTTATGTACAAGCTTCTAAGTCAAGAGCTTCCCTCTAGATCTCTGGGGACGATCATTTCTACAATAAAAATACATAAAAGCTTTCATTTCTCAAGCTTTCCTCTGGATCTCTGGAAATGGTCATGTCAATTTTACATGCTATATATCAATAAATAAGTTGTTCTTTCAAGAGCTTTCCTTTCATAAAAACACACAGAAATGGGATATCTACTTTCCCAGAGATCCAGACGAAAGCTTTGAAAATGCAAGCTCTTACCCGGACAAATCTAGAAGAAAGCTTTTAACATACAAGGTTTCTATATAGTTGTTTAAATCAAAAAATGATTATCTGCAAAGATCTATAGAGAGTCTTTTGTATATAACATAAAAGCGTCTATATACAATCTTTCCAAATCTAAACATAATTATAATATAAGCAGAGATCTAGAAGACAATTGTTAAAATAAACACGTTTATGGCCTGCTTCTTTCCTAATTATCTTGTTCAAAACCATCTGAATGACTGATTGCTGCTTCCAAAACAATAAAATTACCCTGACTCAGGAATACATAATATATTTGTTCATATAGAGAGAGCAGGAATAGATTATATGTGCGTTTATATGGACAGGGGCTGCCACTGAAGCATTTACCAAAAATTTTGGGAAAACCAAAACCCAGGCCCCATGACCACCCGCTCTCAAAAAGAAACTGTTTTGGAAAAATAAGAAGGCTTTGAGATTGAAAAGGAGGGTGCTCTTGCAAAGGGTACATAGATATTGTTCATACAGGGCGACTTGAAGGAGGACAGTACATGTGTGAAAAGTTGGAAAAATACCAAAGAAGTGCACACAGCTTGCGAGTGAGAGAATTGAACGCAAACGAAAAGAAGGACAGAAAAGCTAGGAGTGTAAGGCGAATGAAAGGACCATGACGAATGACTGCGTCGCCTGTTCCATGCCTCAAAGCTCGAAGCGGAAGCGTTCAAAGAGAGGAAAAAAACAAATAGAAAGCTTTAAGAACAGTTCTTCTTCAAAACTTACTCCGGGGAAAAACAACATAGACCAGAAATCAGTCTCAGGTGCTATTTAACATGGACCACTTCCACTCTCAGTCCATGGTCCGCACTGACACAAACTTCCACAAACCTGAGTCAGGCTTGTGGCTAACATGGACCATTCCCACTCTCAGTCTATGATCGATTCTGACACTAACATGGACCAACTGCAACCTAACTATCCACAGAATGCAGCCTAACATAGACCGCGCCGGTAGAGGTCAACATAGCCCGGTGGAGGCTAACATAGACCATGCCACATACCCGTAGGACCTATCGTGGCCTATTTGAACTTGGTCTAGGTTGGTCTCAACGGAGACAGGTGCGAAACTAGACTAACATATGCCATGCAAAAAAAGTCTATGCAATATTTTGTGCCTAAAATGTTAGCTTTCTCCGGTGCAGTGTAAGAAGGCAACAAGTTCAGAAGTTTCACAAAAATGAAGAATTCCAACGGAAAATCCGGAAAATTAATAACATGTCATTGTAAGATTACAAAAAGCAACGGCACGGTGTTTAAGGAACTGCTCCCTGGAAATCCACAAAATTCTTACAGCAAGTGTGCTTGTCAATCGCAAGCGCTACATGCATATAAATAGGAGCATTATTCCCCAGTGTCTGCCAGGTGCAGTCCATCGAGAAAAAAAAAAGAACTTTATCCTGCAGCCTCAGTAGAAATGCACGGATGCTGCGTCCGTGTTCTTATTTATGCTTTCCCGCCTTGTCGTCCTTGCCTCCGTCTTTACCTCCATCCTTACCTCCGTCTTTGGACTTTCCTTTTCGCCCGCCATCCTTTTTGCCCTCAGCAGCCGGCAGCACAATGCGTGTAGGCAAGTCTGCCAAGTGGTGAACCACGAGCCTTCTCTTCCTTCCAGTCCTTCCAGTAGCTATTGTCCTTGCCCTTACCATCTTTCCCTCTCGTGTCCTGCAGCGTTATCACCCTCAAGAAACTACTGGTGGTATTGTGTTCAGCAAGTCCTCCCAGTATGAATCATCTTTTCCATACCACGACCAGCTTCCTTGGCCTCATTTCACAAATTGAATGACACTTGTAGTGCAACTTCAGTTACTGCACTCTTGTTCTGAGGCAACTCGCCCTTTCCATCCTTTCCATCCTTCCATTCCTTCCAATCCTTCCAATCCTTCCAATCCTTCCAATCCTTCCCATCCTTCCCATCTTTGCCATCTTTGCCATCCTTGCCCTTGCCATCCTTCCCCCTGCCATCCTTCCCTTTGCCATCTTTCCCCTTGCCATCTTTCCCCTGCATAAGTTCAAAACACTCAGCTTGATGTGTGTGCTCTTCACAAACAGCACTTCAAAAAAGAACGGCACTGGAGAATCAGTTGTCATTGGGGAGTAGTCTAGCACCGCCAGCCGCCTTCCCCTTCTCGGCACTTTCATCCACCAACTTGTGCAAGAAGTTGCAGTCCTTTCACACGGGTCAACCCAACTAGACTGCGGGTATCACCTAAACTGCCTGTGGCATCCCACTGGCCTTTCGCTCGCATTTCTCTCCTTCGAGAAACTTCCGGCAGTACCTGCAGCCCAATAACTGAGAATCCAAGAAGCAACAAAACATGCCTTACAAGCACATGCGAAGTCCAATCCCTTCATATTTCTTCCACTCCTCCTGTGCGCACTTGGTGGTGCCAAAGTTGGCACGGAGAGTGTGGCCATCCATGGCAAAGCCATCTACAGCCTCACAAAAAGGTCAGAGCATAAAAGGGTGAAAAAGTGAACCCAAGAGAGAAGACCTGTTGTATTGTGGAGTCGACATGTTCCCGGTGCGTTCGACGGTCTGGAGACAGCAAGAAATTTGCGTTTATAGGAGCTTCAGAGGTTGTGTTTGGCATTGCCCTGGTCTAGGTTTTGGTATGGTTTTGGTGCAGAACTAGATGGGTTAAAGGTGTGATAGAGGGCCGGCTTGTGAACCGGCCTGGGAAACGAGGTTACGGGACTACCGCCACCGCCCTGCGGCGCCTGCAGTCTGCGGTTTCAGGGCCTTTGTATGAGGATCCCCTCTACGGACAGGGAACTTGGCCATAGAGCCACAGGAAGAGCTCACAGTCGGAACACAGAAGGCCTGAATTGCAACATGCGCTTCTTCAGGCTTTTCAAAGGTCAAGTACCTCCAAAACAAAGGGCAGTGTTACATAATGGCCACACAACGATAGCACAGTCTACAAGTCAAATGCCTCAGAGAAGGGTTGGCGCACGCACTGTAGATCGGCACACTCTTCTCACTGTGAAACTTCGACTGGATAGGTGCCTTGCTAACAGTCACTCGTTGCAGCTTACCGTACCTGCATGTCACACGTTACAGGACATGGCAAACATATTTGACAGGCGCACTGGGCAAAGAATTCCGGAGATTTCAGAATTTCCTCTTTTGCCTCGGACACGGCCCAAGCTTGTCTTAGAGTGCAAAGGCTCTTTGGCATTGCAAAAGGCTTTGTTCAGGTTTCTACCACATTGACAGTGAGGCCGATGACATGCACCACATTCCTGCAAAGGTCGAGAGATCAAATGACGTGTCATGCAAAATTGTAATCTATGTATAAATATATATATATATATACACCGTGCGCATCTGAAACCAGCTGACAAACCCTTCAGTGAGTGACATCTGACTCCAAGCTCCAAGTTGACCATGGCGGACACCAAAGCAATCCCACTCACTCTGCTCTCGCCCTTTGGACGAAACAATGGGTCAGTCGGACCCAGCATTGGGAGCTCTCCCAAAAATGGCAATGCCTTCGGCATCTGCCACGCATCGACGATCCTCACCGCCGAATCCTCCAACCGATGTAGCTCCATTGACTGAACCTACAGCGGCCTACCAAATATCCCCCCGGCTAGGCATCAGCGGCTTTCTTCTTCACTGAGGCAAAGAGTTGCTGCAACTTGGTCAAGGCTGACCTGACACTGATCACATTCCGATCACATCCAATCACTTGGTCGACCTGTGTTTCCACGAGCTGGTGGAGCTGAGAATCGTGTCTGGTCATCTGAGCAAGACACTTCTCCACCTCTGCTGAGGATCTCCGCCTGAGGATCTCTGCGGAGCGAGGCTTTCGGAAAGTCATAGGTGGGATCTGTGTCCAAGACCCCAGATCTTCAGGGACGATGCTTCACCTCCAATCCTCGGGCTCAAACCTCTCAGACATGTCCTGCACATGCGACTTGGCAGACCTCGCAACTGTGAGAGGATGTGAGTGAGCACATGGTGGTTTCTCAATTAAAAGTCACAAACATGAGAAACCTATCTTGAAGAACGGATCACAAACAATGCCAGTGATTTTAGAGGGTTTGGGGCTCAATCCTTCCCTGGTGTGTCTCCAATGGATGCCACTGAAGTGTCTGCTTGCTCCACTTGCTCCAGACCACTGAGCTTCCCGGGCTCCCACTTCGAAGCAGGCCTTGTTTGGAGAATCCACCGGGTGCGGTCGTTGCACCAGAGAAGCATGAGAAACTCTTCCAAAGGGCTGAAATGTCTGCAAACCCCTTCCAGTAGAGCTGTACTTGAAGGACTTCACTCACGCTTTGTCCAGGACACGGACTTGCCGTGCACCTGAGGAGCGTACGACGCCTCCAAGCGTGGAATCCCTGCCAGCAAGGAGACCTGCAAAGTATGTTGGAGTTGAATGGGTGTGTATTCGAACAGGGAGACCCCCAAAGACAGAGATCGCAGACCCTAAAGCAGGCCTTGGTTTCAGCAGATCGCCTTGGAATCCGCAGCCAAAAATGGAGCCCTAAGAATCACAGCTGCTTGCCTCCATTGTCTCATGCAAACCAAAGCATGTGCACACAGTGGGGGAAAGCGAGAATACTATAGACTAGATATTCTTACGGGAAATATGTCAACTTGTAGAGTCTGCCTGACCTTGGTCCCTTCTGATTGAAGCTATTGCACTGTATACACTGCACTTACAACTCGAGTTTGAAATGTGGCACTTCTTGATGATGTACTCGCAAGGGTCTCGAGCTTTCATACAGTTGACACGCTGCAGCCTTTGGGGTCTGGTTGTTTTGGCGCCAGGCACGGCATCATGAAACAATCGTATGGTTGTATCACAAAGGGGCGCAGGAAGAGTATGCAAAAAAAGGAAAGCAACTAGCTTCAAGCAGCAACTAGCTGCAAAATTGACCCACGGGGCAGCTTGTCAAACGTATGACATTGAATTGAATACTTGTAGTTTACAAGCGCTTATTGGCAAGTACATACAAGAGTCAGCAAGTAGGGTGTTCATATTCTTCACAAACCCTGAAAACAGCGCCTTTTCGGCCCCCGGCTCAACCGAACCGGAGCTACCAGAAGCTGTCAGATTGCGCCCTGGCACGAGTGCTGGTTTCACTGAGTGTGTTACCCACTCAATTGGTGGAATGATGGAAATGATAAAAATGAACGGAAAATGAACGGCCAGACTTCTTCGGCCTTTTGCACTGTTGCTTCGACCATAGACTTTCTTGACTTCTGCCAGGCGAGATGTCAGGATGGGGCTCTGGTTCACCTGCGGCACCCAAAGGACCCGAAGAACCGGCCAACGGATGGGCCCGAGGTGCAGGCCCGGACGCACACCAGAATCACCAGCTCGATAAAGCGGATCCTGCGCGTCTGAGTTGTCTGAATGGATGTGGTCCGGGAATGTGGTACCACAGTGTACCACATCCATTCTCGTTGAGAGCGGAACTGCAAATCGCTACGGTGGCTCAGCCCTCACGAAGATCCACCTTGCCTGTTGTACATCTCGTTTTTCTCATTGTGCGCCGTGCTGATTTCCACCTTGGTCAAGCGTTTCATGGACTGATGGACATACGAGAGTCTCATGGCACATCAAAGGACCTCCATTCCAAGGCTTGACCCCAAGGGTTGCGGCGCGCGCTGGAAGATGGCCTGCAAGCTTGCAGACTGTTACACTGCCAAATGTAAGTACTGTACATATATATTTATATAACTATATATATATATGTTGTTTAATATAGAGTAGTTATATGTAGTTATCAGGTGAGTTGCTTCCGGGATTCCCAGTCACAGTCTCACCCAGCTAGCCTTCAACTGTTGATGAGTCAGCTTCTCATCGAAGTCAGAGTCAGAGTCCGTGAAAAGCCACTTCAAAATACGCTGGACCTGCCAAAACTTGCAAAATTGCTCCGTTTCTGAAGCCCTCTGGCGACGCCACCGCTGGCCACGCCTCTTGGAGCATATCTTGGAACTCTTGATCCATCTGTGAGGTCTGGACGCATGGGCGGACCGCACGTAACTCTCGGTCAGATGTTGCTGGGTCTGGCATCTGCAGTTTGACTTAGGAAAACTGCTGACCAAAATGTCGAAAGGAGTGCTTCTGGGAGACCTTATAATCTTCAGATTCAGCACAAGCGGTTTCTGGAGTTCAAAGGTCTAGAGAGTCTAGTGTACAAGTAGCTGAAGAAAAACTTGCAGTGCCCTTGCAAAGTCTCACATCTGTCCCTTTTGTTTAAGGCATGCACCTATTTCAGAATGTCTAGTTCCCCTCCCAGCCTCTCCAAGCAAGCCTTGGATCTCTGCCTCCTCTGCCTCATCCAGTGGCCCGGAGAACTTGGGCAGCGTCGTCCTCACGCTAGCGTCGTTCAGCCCGTTTGGCCGCAGCCTGTTGTCCACTGAATCCGCTCGCTCAGGACAACAAGTTTAACGTACGTACACTGTACCTGACCTACCCCAGAGCACCTGACTCCCAGTCATTTTATTGCGATCATTCCCTTCCCCAGACAAACATCAGCAGAGTCTAATGTCTAATGAGAACAAAAAGGATGACAAACCTGCAAAAAAGGAAACGTCGGAAACGGGCTCATGAAATCCCAGTCAATCACCAACCGATAAGCTGCTGTTGACTCCCGTCCTGGCGGCGTTCAGCATGGCCGACATTGCGGAATTCTGCGCAGCCTGTTGACTTGTTGTGCCATCACTCGCCTGTGCTGGGGCACCACCTTGGGCTGGAAGGACGGCCTGGGCCAGTGGATGAGGCTGTTTTTGTATGCCTGGGTCGATGTCAAGCTCGATGCCTGAGACTCTTGTATTTTCCGAAATGCTTTTCGGATTCAATCCGCTCGATCATGCTGCTTCCGATAAGATGGATTTGTCTGTGTGCGTTCATTTTTTCGATCTTTGGCCCAGCTACATTGTTGGTCACCGCCAGCCCGTCAGTGTGGGATGCAGCCATAGGCTTTCGTTTGGCTTCCTCCAGTGTGGTGTCGTCATGTCAGCCCGCCACATATCTGTGCTCAATACACACCCATGATATCTCTGACTCTGTAACACCCGCATGCTCAAAGACTCACCGAACAGCACGCTTTCCGCCATCCAATTTTGGTGGGTCAAATCACGATCTCTCAATGTGCCATGCTGAACATCTGGGTCAGGAAATGGCTGAGAATCTCTGAGTCTTGAAACGGGTCGTTCCCAACATCTTCCAAGTCTCTTGCTCTGCCCAAACCTCCTAATTGTAGCTTCTAATGTTAAGTTTCCCTAAAAATCTCGGAACCAAATCATTAGTGCGAGCTTCCTTGAAGAAGCGTGAGCTATCCTGCATCCAAGCTACTAGCTACTGGACCTAGCTCCTACTAGCTACCTCTCTAGCTACTGCGGCCTACCCCTGCCCGACCCCCAACAAAAAATATAAAGAATCCTTAGCTGGCCTGGTGAAGTGCCTGCAAGCGATGCTTCACCTTCAAGGCCGCCAAGCCCCCAACAAAGCCCAGCGGGGAGCTTTGGGCCTCAGTGAGACCAGCTTCGTATGCTCGTCGGTTTTCGACCTCGCTTCGAGGGATCGTCAGCTTACGAGGGAGAAAGTATGATCGGACACGGAACTGGAAGCATTTGATCATCTGCAAGGGAGCTCTTTCACCTCATGATCTCCACTTATCCCCAGCGTGGCTCCTCTTTGACTTTTGCTGCTTGAATCAAGAATCAAGAGCAGAGCAACTAAAAACGGGCCAAGTTGACCCTTCTGTGCCTACAAGAAATCATCTGTAGGTCTATACAGGGAAAACAAAACTACAGGAATTGTAAAACTACGGGACGACATTCCAGCGGCTTGAAGCAAGTCAATATTGAAAGCTCAAAAAGACTATTCTGCTGCACAACCGATCCCGGCACGTCATTCCGCATGATGACCTCTGACCTTGGTACAAATACCAAAGCCTTGAAGAAACGACCAGATTCACGAAAAATGTGTGTGAGCGCAACATTCAGGACTCAGATAATTGATGCTGCTCAGGCCGCACAGAAAAAACTCTCTAAATTTAGAAACTGTTAGAGTACCACATGTTGCCACAGGCAACAAGCAAATTCAAGGGGGGAATTCATTACAATCTCACTGACCTACAGTAACAAGTGGACAAATGCAGAACTCTACTTGAAGACCATTCATCTCTCACAGTGGTCTTACTTTCCGGGATTCTGCACAATTCATGAGGTTGGATAATTGTCTGTCATCTCACAATCAGGTATTGCTTTGAACCTGAGGTCA